GTGGAAGCAAATATGGCCCGATGATATGCTCGTCCACAATGCCGCACCAGATGTTAATTGAAAACTGATGTTGGTCTCTGGTCTGGATGGCTATGGCATGAGGGTTTTCTTCATCCCAAATGTGACTGTTACGGCTATTAAAATAACCGTCCTTTGTAAAACAAGACTCGTCAGTGAACAAAACGTAGCGACCAAAGTTTGGTTGCCTCAACTCCATGAATCCTTGCAAAAATGGCGTGATGCGGATGAGGACGTTCTGGAAACCGTTGGGCGTAGATTCGCGAGGCTCGTCTTTCGTTACCACCAGCTTCTTCGTAAATTAAATGCATATCCGCAAGTTCCGCATACGAATAACGCTGCATTTTAACACTAAGGTACTGTTATTTACTATCTACATAGTTTGACGCACCACTCATATAAATTGAATGAATCGGTATGGAGAATTTACGATAACAAAAATGTAAACACAGCAGGCTTTTTTTACAAACCGGCGAGACCATGAAATGTGCTAGACGAACATTTTACAGCTGGTGAATTTTTTGTTTCTCCTATGAGCTCTTAAGGTAAAATTAGCGGTAATGCTCAAACGGCATATTTACGAACAGGGGTTTATAAGGCAAAATTGCATATTTTTATGCCCTCTACAACCCCTATCATTTTGTCGCAATAATTATGGAACACCCTGTATATATATATATATATATATACAGGGTGACTTTGAAGTTGAGTCATTAATTTTCAGATAATGATTGTAGAAGGAAGATAAACCAAAATACATATGTGTGTAAAAATAAAAAAAAAATTTTTACCTTGTTTTATAAAGTATCCTCCCGACAAGTATTTCAGTGCGGACCTGTATTTGATCGTGAGGTCCCCTGTGAGGTCTTAAGTCACCTGATTCACGAGCCCGTTGTACTACATTAACAAAGGCACTAGGGGTTGGTTGCACTCGATTGGGAAACCGATCCGCATAAACATGTGCCATTTTTTATTTCGTTTGAGCCACGCAACAGATACCACTTTCACTGACACTGACTGTATACAAATGACTGAGATACTTGTAAAAACATCGTTCCAAATTCTTTCGCTTTTTTGTTTCCGATGCGATGAACCGATACGGCGGATTATATCCGTTGTCGCCAAACACGAGTACCTAATATTATTATTGAGACAGGGGCGGTACTCAAAGTTCCAAAGGGCTATAACTTTGTTACTTTAATTTTACCAGAAAAATGGTAAAGGAAAAAAACATTTCTTTTGATCAGATCTACTCACTGTTAAAATAAATGACTCAACTTCGAAGTCACCCTGTATATATATATATATATATATATAGGTGAAAAATAAAGCTTCCGCCTTTAGTTGGGTACTTCGACAAAATTCAAGCAACGAGGACTCTCTATACTTTACTAGTCTCTAGCTTTCAATGGACTTTGCCATCTTCATCAGGAGCTGCAATAACATTGAGAAGAAATAGCAATTATTGTACAAAATGATTTTAAATTAACCTACAATAATATGTGAGATTGTTGCTAAATGTTATTAACGTTTAAGTTGAGGGAAACATTTAGTAGCCCGGTGAAAGCTGGATACATTGTACATTTGTTAAAATTAATATAAAATACACACAGCTGCATATCAGGAACAAATTAAAACGGATTAAAAATATTTAGAACGAAAGTTAAAATTACATCGTGAACCACCTGATGCTACACAAAATGGTGCATTCAATTTAAAAAGTGTTCCAAAATATGTATCAATTTAATCACATCAAATTTTAGCTTGCTAAATTGGATAGTTCAAAGAAAGAAATCCCCACTTGTCGAAAAGTACTGGATATCAGACTACTAACGATACCCAATGTTCTTGGTCATCGCATCTAAGTCTCAAATCTACTGACAATCGCATGTTGAATTCTACAAATAATACAAAAGTTAATTAACGATATCAAAATGTTGTATTAAACATTTCAATGTACTTATTGTACTTTCCATATCAAATAGTACCAACGACCCAGTGGCATATCTACATCCACTAAAACAATATTATCTTTCCGGTTGACTTTTTCTACCTTACCTCTGATTGAGGGTCACTGAAAAATTGATTAGGTTATCACACATACACAGATAATAATGAGCGTTTATAAATGGACAGAAAAAAACAACCTTCTGAAGGTGCCGTGGTATTGGATAATGTTTATTGTTAGATCATTATTGTTTATATTTGATGCATAACTTGACGTTTTTTGTGGACATACTAGTTTAATTATCCCCGATTAAGATTTTATATCAATACGAACTTATTAGGCGTTCGTCCTTATCATGGTATATAGAAGTATTGTTTTATTTAAGAAAGTGAGGATGTACATTATAAAGGAATTCTTATATACATAATATATTAATTTGTTCCTTACAATTATTTTTTAATTCCGTGGCAAGTTACGGAACTGATGCAAAAAATTAACATACAGCTATTAGTAAGGAAGGTTTGGTTAAGCACTTATCAATACATACATATATGATGTTCAACATTGTAATTTCAGTTCATACGTTTTATAATTAGCTTAATAGAATACAACAATTGTGTAATGTAGCACTTCAGCTTATCATGTGGTTTTGATATTGATAGGGTAGGTAGTTCATGATTGGTCGAGTGGAACCATATATGATTAAACTACTTTTTTACTGACGTTTGGGTCACCACTGCGGCTTTTATCACAGTACAAGTGATAATGATAATATATTTAATAAAAATAATACTATAATATACGGTCCTACCTTGCTCATTAAGAATTTTTGGGACAATCCAATCTTCTGTATTTTGTGAGACCTTTCACAACTTTCTCAGAAACATCTTCTTGATGGTGTTACGAAATTATTGTGCTTCATAAACTCATTTAAGAAGCTCATTAAACGGGAACAAGTGGGATGGCTTCAGATTTGATTCTTGATTGTCTTCTATATGAATTATTTTGCTTTTTTTCTTATATACGAAGGTAAATCAAATATGAACCGGATTTTTCTGTTTAACGCGCCATAGGTGAATGGAGTGGAGCGACGTATGGATGTTGGATGGAAATGTCAGTCGGTTTGGCGTGCCGAAGCAGATGAGCTGTTAGTAGCATCATGTCTGAGCAGAAGTTGCACACTTCTGTTGCGCAACATATTATCACAGATTTTTTGTCGCGTGACGGCGTAATCTTGCGTCGATAAGACAGTTTCAAGGAGTCAAGTATACGACTGGGAAACAACTTTCCATGAAGTGGCGAAAGCCTGGAGAGGCAGCACCGCGAAAAGACAAGATCAGTCTTTCTGCAGCAAAAGTTCTTGCAACGGTATTTTGGGATTCTAGAGGTGTACTGATAGTTGATTTTCTTCACGATCGTCGTACAGTTAATGATGTTTACTATTTGTGTAATTCTCGTTTTTGAAAAATAGTACTGTGATTATGAATATTCAAACTGATAGTAGCTGAATAATGTAATGGTGATGTGTGGTGTTTTGAATATACAGTAATGGACAGAAGTATATAGACAAATTAATATTGTGTTGTATTTCTTTTTTAGCTTGTTTTATGAATACACCAACCTGTATACATAATTCGTTACAGCATAATGCACACTTATACATAAATAAATTCATTAGACTCCCTTCAATAAAAAATTAATTGAAAAAAACTGGAACTATGAAGGACAAAAATATCTAGACAAAGCAAAACAATTATAGAAAAAAGAAGCAAAGTTCATTGAATTATAGAAAACCAACCGTGTTTGTGTTAATATTTTGTAGCATAACCATTATTATCAATCACCTCACCGCCTGGCATCGTCTCGGCATAGATTGTAGAAGTTTCTTGATTTGAAGTGTGCTTCAGGTGATTATCTTGCTGGAAGATTGATCTTAAGGGCATATTGTCTCCCATATAGGGTAACATGACATGCTCTAGTATGTCTGTGTAGGTATGCAAACTTATCCATAATGCCATTTATGCTATGTAAAGGTCCCATACCAAACCTCGAAAAGCACCCTCAAACCATAACAGACCCGCCTCCATGTTTGACAGTGGGCAAAGTGCACTTGGGGTTCAATCTTTGTCCACTAGGACGTCTAACGTAATGAACACCCTCTGATCCAAACATATTGAACTTGGATTCGTCACTGAAACATACCCTCTGCCAGTCACAGATGCTCAAATCAAGATGCAACCGTGCAAATTGTAATAGGTCCTTACGGTCTTTCCTCGAGATTAGCGGCTTCTTACTCGGGCGACGTGCAAATAACTTCAAATCATTTAATCTTCTACTTATAGTTTTCGTAGAAACACTGGCAATTCCTTTTGTCTCGATTTCGGCTTTTATTTGTATAGGGGTTTTAAACGGATCTTTGGACGAAATTACTTCTTAATCTAATTGGTCTAGCATTTATTTTTCCGACCACTTCTCTTAGAGGATTCCAAGATACCTTTTTGTTTATATTGGTTCAATATTGCCCAGACTGCTTTACGCTTCAGCTTCAAATTTTTGGCAATGTCGACTTGACGTTGACCATCTTTGTATAACTCAATGATCTTAGTTTTCACATCGAAAGAAATTTCTGGACCACGCGGCATTGTCTTAAAATCACTCAACTTATTCCACAATACTTGATGATCACAAACTAATCCTCTTCTGACACGAAACTGTACTAAACCAATGTTGAAAAGAATATGTCTACATATTTTTGCCCCTCATAAAAAAGTGCTTATATTTTCAAACTTGTATTGTGTTAATTGCAGATAATGTAAAAACAAGGAATTTATTTTGTCTACTAATAAGGCATTTGTTTATGGAGCATGAAATATGAATTCGTTTTCGAAAAGTATTTAGGTAAATATTCATATTTGTCTATATACTTTTGTCCATTACTGTATATCGATGCAATTAATTGATGATCAATGATTTAAACTGTTTGTAAGCCAATTTTTCTAAATTTATTTTAAAGAGGGCCTGAATGTAAAACTACCTTGACGCTGTCAGTCTCCTTGATTCCAGTAAAAAATGTCCATATTCCCATTCTAATTACTTTGGTCGCACAAACATCGATTAATAATTGTTTATTTACATCCGCACACTGGATGGCGCGCAAAAACTCGAACACTTCAAAATAAAAACGACGCGTCTTTTCGCGGCCAACTGAGATCGTCGAATGGCTATCAGCGACTACTGGCAGCGTGGTGGCGTTATCAACGCGCAAAACAGCAGATGTTATCGCCTACAGACGAACAACGAGGAGATCGCGGGGTGTGAGCCGGCCGGCTGCTGCTCTGCATTCTGTTGCTTGTTTCTTGTCCCTTCTGTTTGTTGGATTTTTCGTAATCTTCAGGGCCATTCAGCAGCGCGATAGCCGCACTCAGCAGCAACAGGAAGTTTTTTCTACCAGGTGCCTCTGCTTCTGTTGCTATGATAATAATTATTATACGCTATTAACAGAGCAATTCGTATTTTATTAACGGTTTTTTAAATGTCGTTAGTGGGAACCGTTTCCGCAGGTTTAGATTCTAACTATCTGCACCTGACGTCCACACTTCCGTGAAAAATTGCCAGAAGGAAATAATTATTACTATGTTGGGCACCAAATTCTTACCTCTCAAATGATTCTCATAAGTGGAGCAAGGAAAGAAATAAACCCTGTGTCTGATAGCATATTTTTCTACGAATTCAACGATGTATCAGATGTTACATTTGTTTCCTTGATTACAAAGTTAGTGTCTTATTTTTTTTATTTGATTTAAGTAGGCGTTGCAAATAAATGCTTGATGTAAGAGTATGTGACTACTGATAGATGCATATTTAATAATGATATGTTGGGGTAAAATTTTATAAAATGATCCTTAATCTAGTGATATTCGCATTAATGAATACATAACATTTTTATTTTGTTCATAATAGGTGTTCAAATAGGTTGCCATTATTTTCTAAACATATGATCTAACAGTAAAATTCAAAACATCACATAACATTTCTGGTGTAATCATACTACTTAAATGCTTCCATTACACATTCTTGTAACTACTGTTCAGTTTCAAAAAAATGCCTATAAACTAGATTTTTAATAAGACCCCAAACAAAAAAGTCCATAGGAGCGAAGTCCGAGTAACACGCTGGCCAGGACAGTTCACTGGAGGTTCCAATCCACATTCGAGAAATCGCTGAGAAATATACTCTCGAACTTGCCTAGAATTATGTGCAGGAGCACCGACTTGTTGAAACCAACAGCTATTAACCTGCAATGTTCTTGACGTCTGCATACTTTTTTAGCCCGCAGATTTTCGTGAGGCCAGTGATGACTGTTGTGACGATTAAATATATCATTATTAGTGACCATACTCTCATCGGACTATATTATTTTTCGATGGAAATTAAAATCTTCACACGTTTGTGTGTACCACTCACAAAGAGGCTGGCGTCGTTCGCTATCCCCTGGTCTAAGTCCTTGGCAAATCTTGACTTCAAAGGGATGATGTCTATTTTTACGCAATATAAATTGGGCTATGGATTTCGCTACTCCTACATTTTTCTCAATTTGTCTAGTTGATAGAGTTCTCATCAACTGCTTGGGAAACACTATTCTGCGTTTCCTCTGAAGATTCCTTGTTTCAAGACGTGACAGGATTTTGAATGAACCATATTCATTTAAATTTTGAGCCAACTCTAAGAAAATGGACTTACTTGGCTGCCTTCTTTCTGGAAATTTGTCAAGATACATTTATGCATTATTTTTAGTATCTTTGTAGCACGTCAGCATGTCGAACCTTTTTTCATTTCATTTGATTTTTTGAACGGATCAATTAAAAAAATTAAAACTTGAGGTAGTGAAAGTGATGCGTGGATACCATATTTTAGAGCAAAATTGACAAATGAAAATGTCAAGATGGTTGTTGGGCGCCATCTTGGAAACCAAAATTAACGGGGGTCTTGTGGCACATCATTTTGAAGCTCCTGACAAGTACTTTATAACCCTAGAATATAAAGTCAATACATTTACCTACTACAAAATGGTGGTACATGCATATCTCTACCAATAATTGTAATTTTCCTGCCGTATCCACAGCAACAGCGATAAAAACTTGTTTTGTTATTTTTGTTGACAGTAACAAGAATATCAGTACGAAACAAACATCATTGTACAGTTAAAATAGGATTTTTAATGATCGTTTCCCGAATCTAAATTTACAGCTAAATTTACAGCTACTGTAAACAACAAAAAACCTCCAGCTCATCCAACCATCTCGGAAGAAAAGCAAGTTGGTGAGATCATAGTAAATCCCCAACAGTCTACTGCCTCTATCGCGAGTGCATGTGAGGTTTGTCCTTCTACTGTGTGGAGATTTTTAAAAAAGAATAAGTATCACACCGGTGTGAAGTTGGCAGACAAAATTTAGCGGACAATTTGCCGAAGATACCCGAATGATCAGTGGCGTCGACATCCTCGACCAGACTGTGATTGTGAAGGATACAGCTAACAGCTCGCAACAATAAATATATATATATATATATACACGAGAAAAAGCACCCTTATAGGAAGAATAATTTTCCACCCTAATTAAATAATTGGCAGGAACAAGAGTTAACCCAAAACCTTTCATCGAATTTTCATTTACCGATTACTGTATTGAAAGTAATTAATGAGCTAAATAGCATATACTGAGAAAATCTCTAAAGGGGTGCTAGATGAAAAAATATAAATAAAACTTCATTTTCAACCCAAAAAAATGATTTCACAAAATGATTCATATCTCAAAAAAATAGTCTATTACAGAGACAATTCATGGGCTAGGTGGCATGGTGTGAGAAAGCTTCTGAAAGGCTGGCAGATAAAAAATCTGCTAAAAAAATTCATTTTCACCCCCAGGGATATGATTCCCCAAATCAGTTGTACCTCAAAAAATACTCTATTATAGAGACTATTTATAGGCTAGGTGGCATGGTGTGAGAAAGCTTCTGAAAGGCTGGCAGATAAAAAAATATGCTAAAAATTCATTTTCACCCCCAAAGAAATGATTCCCCAAAATCAGTTGTACCTCAAAAAATACTCTGTTATAGAGACTATTTGTAGGCTAGGTGGCATGGTGTGAGAAAGCTTCTGAAAGGCAGGCAGATAAAAAAATATGCTAAAAAATTCAATTTCACCCCAAGGAAATGATTCCCCAAAATCAGTTGTACCTCAAAAAAATACTCTATTATAGAGACTATTTATAGGCTAGGTGGCATAGTGTGAGAAAGCTTCTGAAAGGCCGGCAGATAAAAAAATATGCTAAAAAATTCGTCTTCACCCCCAAGGAAATGATTCCCCAAAATCAGTTGTACCTCAAAAAAATACTCTATTATAGAGACTATTTATAGGCTAGGTGGCATGGTGTGAGAAAGCTTCTGAAAGGCTAGCAGATAAAAAAATATGCTAAAAAAATCATTTTCACCCCCAAGGAAATGATTCCCCAAAATCAGTTGTACCTCAAAAAAATACTCTATTATAGAGACAATTTATAGGCTAGGTGGCATGGTGTGAGAAAGCTTCTGAAAGGCTGGCAGATAAAAAATATGCTAAAAAATTCAATTTCACCCCCAAGGAAATGATTCCCCAAAATCAGTTGTACCTCAAAAAAATACTCTATTATAGAGACAATTTATAGGCTAGGTGGCATGGTGTGAGAAAGCTTCTGAAAGGCTGGCAGATAAAAAAATATGCTAAAAAATTCATTTTCACCCCCAAGGAAATGATTCCCCAAAATCAGTTGTACCTCAAAAAAATACTCTATTATAGATACTATTTATAGGCTAGGTGGCATGGTGTGAGAAAGCTTCTGAAAGGCTGGCAGATAAAAAAATATGCTAAAAAATTCATTTTCAACCCCAAAGAAATGATTCCCCAAATCAGTTGTACCTCAAAAAAATACTCTATTATAGAGACTATTTGTAGGCTAGGTGGCATGGTGTGAGAAAGCTTCTGAAAGGCAGGCAGATAAAAAAATATGCTAAAAAATTCATCTTCACCCCCAGGAAATGATTTTTTTATCTGATTTTGGGGAATCATTTCCTTGGGGGTGAAAATGAATTTTTTTAGCATATTTTTTATCTGCCAGCCTTTCAGAAGCTCTCTCACACCATGCCACCTAGCCTATAAATTGTCTCTATAATAGAGTATTTTTTTGAGGTACAACTGATTTTGGGAATCATTTCCTTGGGGGTGAAAATGAATTTTTTATCATATTTTTTCATCTGCCAGCCTTTCAGAAGCTTTCTCACACCATGCCACCTAGCCTATAAATTGTCTCTATAATAGAGTATTTTTTTGAGGTACAACTGATTTTGGGGAATCATTTCCTTGGGGGTGAAATGATTTTTTTAGCATATTTTTTATCTGCTAGCCTTTCAGAAGCTTTCTCACACCATGCCACCTAGCCTATAAATTGTCTCTATAATAGAGTATTTTTTTGAGGTACAACTGATTTTCGGGAATGATTTCCTTCGGGCTGAAAATGAATTTTTTAGCATATTTTTATCTGCCAGCCTTTCAGAAGCTTTCTCACACCATGCCACCTAGCCCATGAATTGTCTCTGTAATAGAGTATTTTTTTGAGATATAAATCATTTTGTGGAATCATTTTTTTGGGGGTGATAATGAAGTTTTATTTATATTTTTTCATCTAGCACCCTTTTAGAGATTTTCTCAGTATATGCTATTTAGCTCATTAATTACTTTCAATACAGTAATCGGTAAGTGAAAATTCGAAGAAAGGTTTTGGGTTAACTCTTGTTCCTGCCAATTATTTAATTAGGGTGGAAAATGATCCTTCCTATAGGGGTGCTTATTCTCGTGCATATATATATTTATTGTTGCCAGCTGTTAGCTGTATCCTTCACAATCACAGTCTGGTCGACGATGTCGACGCCACTGGTCATTCGGGTATCTTCGGCAAATTGTCCGCTAAATTTTGTCTGCCAACTTCACACCGGTAAGTATCACCCATACAAAATTCAAATGGTACATCAGCTAACTGAAGATGACCCTGATCGAAGTTCAGAATTCTGCGAGACTATAACGGAAACCATTGTGCGACATCCTACCTATCCAAAATATTTGTTTTAGTGATGAATGTACATTTTTTCTCAATGGTAATGTGCATAGACAAAATTGTCGTTATTGGAGTGACACCAATCCTCACGTCTTCCGGGAAACTCATACTCATATCCACATAAAGTTAATGTTTGGGCTGGGATATTGGGAAATCATATTGCGGGACCTCTATTCATCAAACCAACTTCAACCGGGGAACTGTATTTGAAT